AGAAGAGCCCTGCTGGGTCAGACCAGTGAGGGTTCCTCTAGTCCAGCCTCCCACCTTGCACAGGGGCCAGCCAGTTCCTCTGGAGGGCCAGCAACAGGGCAGAGAGGCCGAGGCCTTCCCCTGAGAAGGACACCAGAAGAGCCCTGCTGGGTCAGACCAGTGAGGGTTCCTCTAGTCCAGCCTCCCACCTTGCACAGGGGCCAGCCAGTTCCTCTGGAGGGCCAGCAACAGGGCAGAGAGGCCGAGGCCTTCCCCCGATAACAGCGTCAGAAGAGCCCTGCTGGGTCAGACCAGTGAGGGTCCCTCTAGTCCAGCCTCCCCTCTCCCACAGGGCCCAGCCAGTCCCTCTGGAGGGCCAGCAACAAGGCAGCGAGGCCGAGGCCTTCCCCTGATAAGGACACCAGAAGAGCCCTGCTGGGCCAGACCAGGGAGGGTCCCGCTAGTCCAGCCTCCCACCTCGCACAGGGGCCAGCCAGTTCCTCTGGAGGGCCAGCAACAGGGCAGGGAGGCTGAGGCCTTCCCCTTATAAGTACCTCAAAAGAGCCCTGCTGGGTGAGACCAGTGAGGGTCCATCCAGTCCAGCCTCCCATCTCACACAGGGCCCAGCCAGTTCCTCTGAAGGGGCAGCAACAGGGCAGGGAGGCTGAGGCCTTCCCCAGATAAGAACTTCAGAAGAGCCCTGCTGGGTGAGACCAGTGAGGGTCCCTCTAGTCCAGCCTCCCGCCTCACACAGGGTCCAGCCAGTTCCTCTGGAGGGCCAGCAACAGGGCAGAGAGGCCGAGGCCTTCCCCTGATAAGGACACCAGAAGACCCCTGCTGGGTGAGACCAGTGAGGGTCCCTCTAGTCCAGCCTCCCGTCTCACACAGAACGCACGGTGCCTAGCTGCTGCTGGGGTCCAGATCTGGTCCCGGAGGCTGGCACCCAGGGAATTTTATTAATACGTTTTGTCAACTGAAGCGTTTTATTCAATGTTGTAACCGCCCCGAGCCCTGTGTCCCAGGGGAGGGTGGGATATAAATCAAATCCTCTCTATTCTGCCATGGTCAGGCCTCACCTGGAGTACTGTGCCCAGTTTTGGGCAACCACATTTGAGGAAGGATGTTGACAAGCTTGAGCGTGTCCAGAAGAGGGCAACCAGGAGGGTGAGAGGGTTGGAATCCAAGTCTTACGAGGAAAGGCTGAAAGAGTTGGGTCTGTTTAGCTTGGGAAAGAGAGGCTTAGAGGGGACACGATTGCAGTCTTCAAGTATCTGAAGGGCTGTCACGTAGAAGGTGGAGCAGATCTGTTCTCTCTTGCTCCGGATTGCAAGACTAGACCTAATGGGTGGAAATGACAAGGGAGTCGATACCGGCTAAATTCCAGGAGAAACTTCCTGACTGTAAGAGTGGTTGAGCAGTGGAACAGTCTGCCTCGGGAGGTGGTGGGTGCTCCTTCGCTGGACGTTTTCAAGCGGAGGCTGGACGACCATCTTCCGGGTATGTTGTAGGTATGGAGGGCTATCTTTTGGCTGTGCTCCTGCAGAGTGCAGGGGGTTGGACTGGATGACCTGCAAGGTCCTTTCCAACTCTAACATTCAATGATTCTAAATCAAATAAAATGTGCACGCTGTTACGCAAAGAGCGTAGGATGGTGGGTTCTCGTACGCAGCCATATATGGGACCTTTTAATTCCATCCTCCTTAAAGCCAAACAGCAGCGGACACACACACACACACACCCGGCTGCCCCTGCTGTCAACAATTTCCAGCTCGGTTTGAGCCTCTTGAACACTTCCTTAAAAGCAATGGAATGGCCGTCTTCAAGCAGCGGCCGGACCATCCCTTGTCAGGGATGCTCTAGACTGATCCTGCACTAAGCAGGGGGCTGGACTAGACGGCCCGTGTGGCCCCTTCCGACTCTGGGATTCGATGATTCTAAGGGTCGAGGGGGGAAGGTAAAGCCAGCGTGAATGGGATGGGCTCTTCTGCCTTGGCTTCTCCTTCCGTCGTTCTACGAAACCCACGTTGGAACAGAAATCCCCCTCTGCATTGCGCGCTGCCTTCCCTTCCTTTGATCATCGGATCTCACGGTACCTTCTGCATAGATCTATGGCCATTTTAGGGCCGTTCAGGGGTGACTTTGCAGTCAGCGCGGGGTTGGCCCCGGAGTAGCTGAATGTGGTTCTGAGCTACGCTTTTCCCTCCCAGGAGAGAAAATGTGGAGTGAAGGCCAGATGGCAGAATCACCCACGGATGCCATCCGTTTCTCCTCCCTGCAAACCAGGGGTCATTTCCTAGAAAAAGAGGTGCAGGGGCTCATTCGCATAACTCATTAGCATAACTTGTTTGCATAGGCCACACCCCCTGACATTACGGGAAGTGTGTCAGAAGGCAGCACCCACCGCTCAAGCTCCACTGGACTGTTCTGGATTGCTAGCCATTGAGGGGGAGGAACTGTGCAGATCTGTCCTCACAGAGAAGGGAGAGCTTCTACCTGAATAAAACTTGGCCTTAAAGGTGTCACTGGACTGTTTTGGACTGCTAGCTATGGGGGGGGGAGAGAACGTGCAGATCTGCCCTCACAGAGGAGGGAGAGCTGGTACCTGAATAAAACTTGGTCTTAAAGGTGCCACTGGACTGTTTTGGATGGCTAGCTATGGGGGGGGGATGTGCAGATCTGTCTCCGCAGAGGAAGGAGAGCTTGTACCTGAATAAAACTTGATCTTAAAGGTGCCACTGGACTGCTTTGGGCCGGGGGGGCTCTGCAGCTTACCTGGCTGCTTCTTGCTCTTACTGAGGGCTGCTGGGAGCAGGGGGCGGGGCTTGTTGCATGTGCCCGCCCCCCCCCCGGCGTCTTTGTGCCGGAGCTCTGCTCCCGTGCGCTCCCACAGAAAACGACCCCTGCTGCAAACAAAAGGGTCGCGGGGTAAAGATGGTTTGGCCTCTAATGTCCCCCCTCCTTCTCCCCCCCCCCAGGCGACTCGCAAATACCGGCAAGAGCATCGCCACCAAGAACGTCGCGAACCCGACCGCGATGCTGCTCGCTAGCTGCATGATGCTGGACCATCTCAAGTAGGTGCCTGAGCCACGGGACTCCCCATCACGGCCCTTGTGTCGCTCATGGCGGCTTCTTCCATCCCGCTGGGGGTGTGTGTGTGCGCCTGGATTTGTACCGCTGTTCTTGACTGCTCGTGTCTGCTGTCCCTTGCAGGCTGCACAGCTACGCCTCCGTAATCCGCAAGGCAGTCCTGGCCTCCCTGGACGATTCAAAGGTGAGTGTCTTCTGTCCCTCTCTTCCCTCCCGGCTGATACTATCGAAGTCTGTGGATTTGTGGGGGTGTCCCCAGGGCCCCCGAGCTGGAGGGCCCAGCCTAGCCCGATCCATCAGATCTCGGAAGCTAAGCAGGGTGGCTCTGCAGAGGCTTCCATCCTCGTCATCCAGTGCAGGGAAGACTGGCAGTGGAAAGGTGATGGCGCTGTGCTGGTGGGATTGAGGTGGTTGTTCCTTCTCTTCAATGAATCGGGTCAGGCCAGGAGGCCACGTGTGTGTAAAAGTTCAGGGCTCATGTAGCAGCCGACTTAAGGGGAACATGGTGTCCTTGAAGAAAGCTGGTATGAGGGGAAGAGGAAGAATTGCCCACGCGACACAATTGTTACAACTTCAGAACAATCCAACGGTTCTGGTTTCCACCAAAGAATTCCGGGAAATCTCTAACCTGATGAAAGGTGTGAAGGAGTTTGAGATTCCCCCCTCCCCTTCCTGCAGAACTACGGTTCCCAAGTTTCCCTAATTTTGTTTTAAACCAGCAAATCTGCAGTGCAAGAAAGGGTTCCCCGACACGGTGCCTGTGGGCACCACCCCTTTTCTGGTGCCCACCGAATGTTTTTTAAAAAGTGGGCGGGGCTCTTGGCCATTGGAAATTTGATTGGCTGTACAGATTTTTTTTAAAAAAAACCCCTGTTGCTTTGGTAGCAGTGGCCACCGCAACAGAAGGATCGCCACGGTATGATGGCTGCACCCACCACACTGCGTCAGAACTTCGAAGGTGTCCACAGGTTGGGGATCCCTGAAGGTACACCCCAAGAGTGCTGCCAGAGAAGACTCCATACGGGTGGCTGTGTGTGAACCTGGCTTCATAGCACTCTCTCTCTCTCTCTCTCTCTCTCTCTCTCTCCCCCAGCCCCACACGCCAGATATTGGAGGACAGGGGACGACTTCGGAGGCCGTTCAGTCCATCCTGAAGCAGATCCGTGGATCCGCAGTCAACTTGGCACAGGTGAGGAAAGCAGGACTTCATCCTTCCGTTGTCAGCAGGGCTGTGGGTGGGGCAAGGCGCAGCAAGAGCAGCGGAAGAAGAGGTGTTCGGGCTCTGCACAGATTGTATGAATGCCCCCCCCCCCCCCCAGTACTAGAACTTGAGGGCATCCAATGAAGCTGATGGGCGCACTAGGTTCAGGACGGACAAAAGGAAATACTGCTTTACAGAGTGATTAAAATGTGGAATTTGCTGCCAGAGGATGTAGTGATGGCCACAAGAATAAGCAGCTTTCAAAGGGGTTGAGATACATTCACGGAGGAGAAGTCTATCAGTGGCTACTAGCCATGGTGACTATGGGGAACCCCCATATTCAGAGGCACTAAACCTCTGAATCCCAGAGCCAGGAGGCAGCATCAAGGGAAGGCCTGGTTCTCTATGCCGTGTTTGTTGGCCATCCAGAGGAGCTGGCTGGCCCCTGTGTGAGGCGGGAGGCTGGACTAGAGGGACCCTCCCTGGTCTGACCCAGCAGGGCTCTCCTGGTGTCCTTCTCAGGGGAAGGCCTTGGCCTCCCTGCCCTGTTGCTGGCCCTCCATAGGGACTGGCTGGCCCCTGTGTGAGGCGGGAGGCTGGACTAGAGGGACCCTCCCTGGTCTGACCCAGCAGGGCTCTCCTGACGTTCTTATCAGGGGAAGGCCTCGGCCTCTCTGCCCTGTTGTTGGCCCTCCAGAGGGACTGGCTGGCCCCTGTGTGAGGCGGGAGGCTGGACTAGAGGGACCCTCCCTGGTCTGGCCCAGCAGGGCTCTTCTGGTGTCCTTATCAGGGGAAGGCCTCGGCCTCTCTGCCCTGTTGCTGGCCCTCCAGAGGGACTGGCTGGCCCCTGTGTGAGGCGGGAGGCTGGACTAGAGGGACCCTCCCTGGTCTGGCCCAGCAGGGCTCTTCTGGTGTCCTTATCAGGGGA